CAACAAGATTCCTATCTAGCAAACTGCCTGAAATCCCTACCATTGTTCAGCATTGTGTAGAAAACCTTAAGCATTAATCATTTATTTTTATAATACATTATTTATTTATAATCTGAAAGGAGGAAGTTAGCCCCCCAATTTTTTTCTAGATTAGTATCCATCGATTACTTTCCCAGATCTGCTTCTAGTGAAATCAGAATTGTTCTCATTTATCGCTTATTATTTTTTCCCTGATTTAGTTCAGATGCCTCTTGCCTCGTAACATGCATGCCTAGGCTCTATTTGCAGAGTGAGGTTATTGGTATCAGGAGCTTCTGGAGAGATACATGGAGGAAGTGGCCTGATCTTGTGTGGTCATCTATAATTTCTTGTGATCTTGTTGCAGGCCCTTTGGGAAGGAACTGTGGCTCTGTGTGCCTTTTTACTCTTGGTATCTTAGTGAGACATAGGGAGGCCTTGCATGCTGCAGTCCATGGGGGTCACAAAGTGTTCGACACGACTTAGCAACTGAACAACAACAAAATCTTAGCATAGTGAGTAGCACAAAGTAGGCACTTAATGAAGAAAGAATGAAAATGTAAGCTCCACATGGCCAGGGACCATGCCTTCCTTGTTGTGCATTGTATGTGCTGCTTAGCACAGTTACATAGTAGGTGACCAATAAAATATATAATGACTGAATCAGGAATTTAGTGTCAGGTTTGTTTGGATCCCTGCTTTTGTATTTTCTGACATTTGTAGTTTGATATACAGTTTGAATTTACAAATAAAATTTTGGTTATCCAAATGTGTGGGCTGATTTCTATGATCGAAAGGTTACATTTTGTATAAGATACTGCTTAGTCATTTATTGTTTTTCTCTTACCTCCAAACCTGCCACACAATTTTAAAATAGTTTTTATAATTAGGATGACTTGAGGTATATTTATTCACTTGGTTGCTCTGGGTGAGTGATTAGTGACTTTGTATAAGATGAAATGTATGGGAATTTAAGAATGATTTTAGATGAATTCCTGCATGATCAAACCATAACACGTTGTGAGAGGAAAGACAGGTATTTAGAGTGGAGGTCATTAGGCAGTTGAGGTCAGTAATGCCGAAAAAACTTTTACTTGCAGGTACTATATACTAAGTGGCAAGTTTGATTTCAATGGAATCTGAAAGCTTATTTAAAAATATTCTGTTTAGGTACTTCAGCAGTCAATCAGGTGTGCCTACTATTTAAACAGTAATTTTCTCAGGAGCAATGTTTTGAACCTAAATGCCTTGCATGGTTACTGGAAGAATGAGGTTACTGATAAAAATTATTCCTTTTTTGCTTGGGATATCACATTATTATTGCTTTAAGGGAAATTTTCTCAGAGAAAGCAGATGCTCGGTGCTTATTAGTATAGTACTTTTAAATATGTAAGATGTGAACAAAAGACCAGATCATCCCAATGATTCTTTATAAAAAAGGAAATGTATTAACTTTACCAAAATGTGAATGCCATAGCACTTTAAACATTTATTTAATATAACTTGACATAGAAGTGTAATGTTCATTTCTTCCTTTGTGCATAGCTTTAGTATTTTAATGATAGAAATCCCAAAGAGTGTTTTATTATTATGAGTTAAAGATATCATTCACAATTCAGGTAGGACAGGACTGTACTGAGACTTTTGCTTTGAGCCTCTGAAAATAGTGGCCCCTCATCTGCAAGGGAGCTTTTACTTTTACCCTGGGCTTGGGCAGAGTCTGCATACCCTCAATTGACACACCTCCCACATAATTTTCATGGCAAATAAAAGGGGAAAAAAATGGAAGCAGTGACATTTTGTTTTCTTAGGCTCCAAAATCATTGCAGATGGTGACTGCAGCCATGTATTTAAAAGATAATTGCTCCTTGGAAGGAAAGCTATGGCAAACTTAGACAACTATTAAAAAGCAAAGACATCTCTTTACCGACAAAGTCCATATAGTCAAAGCTGTGGTTTTTCCAGAAGTAATGTACAGTTGTGAGTTGGGCCATAAAGAAAGCTGAGTGTTGAAGGATGGATGCTTTTGAACTGTGGTGCTGGAGAAGACTCTTGAGAGTCCCTTGGACAGCAAAGAGATCAAACCAGTCAATCTTAAAGGAAGTCAACCCTGAGTATTCACTGGAAGGACTGATGCTAAAGCTGAAGCTCCAATACTTTGGCCACCTCTTATGAAGGGTCAACTCATTGGAAAAGACCCTGATGCTGGGAAAGATTGAAGGCAGCAGGAGAAGGGGGCAGCAGAGGATGAGATGGTTGGATGGCATCACTGATTCAATGGACATGAGTTTGAACCAGCTCTGGGAGATGGTGAAGGACAGTGAAACCTGGCATGCTGCAGTCCATCGGGTCACAGAGTCAGACATGACTTAGTGGCTTATCAGTGATAACAACAACAGTAGAAAAATATTCGTTCTGAGTTGTGCAGGAGATGGCAGCAGTGCTTGGGTCAGTGGTGGAGTTGTGACCCTGAGAAGGGAAAGGGCAGTGGCTTTCAGGTCTTATTTGTATTTAATATGTCCCTTCACATAATTTGCACTAGTTCCAACTTTATCTCTGCTTCCCTTTTGTGACTAGTTGTATAATAAAAGTCTTCTTTCCTTTCAACATTAAAACAACAACAACAACAAAAACAACAATTCTCAAACCTAAAAGGCAACATAATCTCTCTTCTTGGGCAATAATAATCTAAGTGCATTTCTTTATTTTAGTATCTTCTCAAAGACTTGGAGAAATAATAAAAAAATATATAGGAATATAGAGTGACAGCCCTGGAAAGAATATTAGAAATTGAATCTGACCCCTTACTATTTTTTTTTTTTGGCTACACTGGATCTTAGCTTTCATATGTGGGATTTTAGTTGCAGCATGTGGGATCTAGTTCTCAGATCATGGAACAATGTGAAGTATTGTTTCATGAGAGTTTTTAAATGATTTTATACTGTATATCTATCTGTCTTTATATCCCCTGCACTTAGCATTGGTGTTTAGCAGGAAATAAATGTTTACTGAATTAAACAGCACATTAGAGTTTGTGTACATACAAAACTGAATTTCTTATAGTTTCTTAAATAACTATGTTTTATTTCGCTCTGAGGTCTTCATGCACACTGCTGCTTTTGCCCAAAGTGCCCAGGTCTTACCTCAAATGCCTTTTCCTTTAAGACATTTCTTAATCATTTTCTAATGCATGCACTTCCTTGCCCCCGGCACATTGGCCCTTTTCAATGCCTTTTCCTCTTGGAAATATTTCTCTAAAGGCAATCTTCCGTGGCACTTTGTAACTCCTTGAGAGTGAGGACTGTGTCTGCTTTTCATTTGTGTATCTCTAGCATCCAGCCTTGTACTTATTAGAGTTTTGAGAAATTAAATTATGAACATGTTTTTAGTACTTTGGAATGTAATCCAAGGAAATGATAAAATAACAGTGCTTGAATAGGTCACAACTACCTCAACTCTTTTCTCATCTCTTCTCTCCCCAATCCTTGCCCATCTATTTTCATTTCTGTCTGTTTAACCTCCGAAATGCATATGTGAAGTTGGCCCATTTTGATCCATTTCCATCACCACCACCACCACTATAATCCATCCTACCATCATCTCTTGCCCTAGCCCACTAGAATAATCTGGTCTTCCTGTATTTATCTAGTCCTAGTCAAGAAATAGAATGGACTGAAATTATAGCCTATCACATAGTATGAATCAGTATTATTTTGAGAAACTTGTGAACAAACTGGTCATTTATCTTCCCCAGCCAGGAGGGTTCTTCATCTGTTAGACTGTGTTTAGCTTCATTTTGGTCTTGTAGGGTAGAATCTCTTGATCTCTCACTATTTTGTTTTTCATTGCATAAGACCATTAAAGGATTGCATTAGCCCTAGAAAATCTGAAAATTAACCAAGTGGTTACAGGGCTAAGTGAGGGTTGATAATTCTCTGTATTGAATTCATGCAGTGATATTTTTTCTTGATTTCTCATATATTTCATGGTTATATTAGGATAAATTTGGCTGCCATAACATAGGCCCCATAACATTGTTTAAACATGGAAAGTGATTTATCTCTTAATTAACAACTTGAACATAAGTAACACAGGACAGTTACAGTGCTTCCATGGTGTTGGAGATGTAGGACCCTTCTATTTTATTGCTTTGCCATCTTTAACTGGAAATGGCTACTCCTGTTCCTACAAACACCATCACAAGTGTCACCAAATAGGAACGAAGGGGAGGACATAATTCTTCTAAGGCAGTGTTTCTGCTTATATGCCATTCATCAGTCCTAGTCACATGGTCATACTTAGCTGCACGGGAGGCTGGGCAGCCATGTGTTTCCCTAAAACTTCTATTATTGCAGAAGAGGACAGGTATCAGGGCCTAAGGAGCATTTGCACCACAGTCAGCAACAGGAAAGGATTTACTTTTGGAATGCTTTTTTTTTCCCTAACACTGCTTTGTGAGGAGAAATCTTCTATTGAAATTATTAAGCTATTTGACCTGTGGGAAAGAATTCACCTGAGTTATTGTATTTGACTTTGGGATTTTAAGTTAGATATATTTCAGTGGTTATAGGGATGAGTATTGGAGAAGGAAATGGCACCCCACTCCAGGACTCTTGCCTGGAAAATCCCATGGACAGAGGAGCCTGGTAGGCTACAGTCCATGGGGTCGCGGAGAGTCGGATGCAACTGAGTAACTTCACTTTCACTTTTCACTTTCATGCATTGGAAAAGGAAATGGCAACCCACTCCAGTATTCTTGCCTGGAGAATCCCAGGGACAGAGGAGCCTGGTGGGCTGCCATCTATGGGGTTGCACAGAGTTGGACACGACTGAAATGACTTAGCAGCAGCAGCAGGGATGAGTATGAAACATATTGAGATGAGGTTGCTTTTTCTTAACTCTTATTTTTCTTGGACTGTTTTTATGTTTTCTTTTTTACCTTTCTTGGGGCTAATCTAATATTATTTTTGTTGTGCTTTTAGGCATGGCACAGTCCCAAGGCTGGGTGAGAAGGTACTTTAAGGCCTTTTGTAAAGGCTTCTTTGTGGCAGTACCTGTGGCAGTGACTTTCTTGGATCGAGTTGCCTGCGTGGCAAGAGTGGAAGGAGCATCGATGCAGGTAAAACTGATATGACTCCTTTCTTTGAAATACACGTTTGGTTGTTTCTCAAGCACTAGAAATGAGATTTCTGTATATTGTCTCCATGCTAGAAACTGAAAGGTTTTTGAAGGGCCTTGAACTAAATTTTAATATTACTAAATGTCTTTATAAGGTCTTCTAATGCAGTCATATTATAAGCAATGGTGAATAAAAATAATTCTCTGATAGTTCTCTATATCTATAGTTCCCCCCTACCTTAGAAATGATAAACTGAGATTCTAAAGAAATTTTACAAAATAATATCACTTTCTGTTGCTGTGGCCTGAGATTTTAAGGTTTTTTTTTTTTTTTTCAATTATCCATATATGACTGAGATCAGATTTATGAGTTCAATTGCAGGATGAATTTGTCTCCAATTCAGTTACCTGATTGTTTTACACTCTCACACATGCACTCACACACTCATTTATGCACACATAGAATTCTGATAGGTAGAAAATTCTACAGCACTGATTTCAGATATTCTAGTGTGTTCTTTAAGCATGTTGCTGATTAAGAAGATTAAATGCCATTTGCATTGGAAAAATTTTGGAGTGGAGATTTCCAAAAGTTATAACACAAGTAGTCTCCAGTAACTCAGAGAAAACTTGATTATTCTAATGCTGATGTCTGGAACCTAGCTGTTTCAGTAAGTTTATCAACTAAGAAGAATTTGCATTTTGTAATATAATTTGTTTTCTTCCATTATTTTGTGTATTAAGTTTATGCATTATACTAAATATTTCTATAAAACAAATAAAATGAATGTATAAACTTCTAAGAGTTTAAAATGATACAGAGAGTAACCAGCTTACTTTCCCCCCCTTTTTTAGTCTTTAAACTAGGTGAGGGCGTAGACATCAGCTTTGAAGAGTTAGAATGAAATTGCCTTGTTAAAATTGTAACCATTGCACTGAAAATCAGGTCTCTTCCTGAGTTCAGGTGCTTAGTGAGATCCTGAGTGAGTGCTTTTGGGGTGAAACTAGGGTTCTAAAGCATGGCTGCCTGAATATTTACTTATTGACTTGTGCTTCCATCATTTGAGAATGATGGGGGCCTTCTCTTGGGCTGGGGCTTCTGAGTTAAACCCTGTCTCTCACGTTCACTATAGAGTGGGTCACCAGCTCCAAGCAAACCGGTCACTTACTTTGAATGCAAAAATATTGTAGTGCATGGGTACAGCAAACAAAGGAAGAGGGATTTATAAGTGTATGGCTTTATTCCTAAATGCAGTTTAATACATTTAACAGAGGTGGGTTTTACATTTCCTTCCTCTTTAATTTTAAATTCCAAGCAGCCTCATCTTAGACCCAATTCTTTGGGGAAATTAAGCTTTCTTTGTTGAGCTTTTGAATCAGATTCCTCATTTGAGATTAAAACTGACTTCTCCACAGCCATCCAAATTCCTTTTTGGTCCCTTTCATCCCTTTGAACCCATTTACAGGTATTATTTTTTGATAACAAATGATCACATGAGTAATGACTTTTTTCCAGTTTTGTTAGTGCTATCTTGTTACACAACCCGCACTATCCTGAGATGGAATTTTTCCAGAACACAAAACCTCATAATTTTGGATCTCATGATATTCCAGAGAATCATATGGCAATCATAGTATTGCCGTCTTCATGGCTTTAGCCCGGTATAGCCCAGTATGTTTATGACTTGTGCTCAGAGGGAAAAAACACAAGGAACTAGCCATTTTATGAAAACACAAAGCTTATCCCCAGTGAAGAAGACAATGAAGAAAGTCTTGAATATGCCAGATCTTGTCTTTTAAAGCCTTTAGATGCCAAGATCTGTCATTTAAATGCCAGATCTGTTGATTAAATAGTAAGTTTATTCCAGATACATTAGAATTTCTTACAGTATTCCTGGACCACTACCCCAAGAATCAAATTTATTACCTTGTGGTTTGTTTGGTAGGATTTCCTTAGTTGTTGGTTAGAGAAGAGCAGTTTGGAATTGACTTTGATCTACAGGGAAATTGATTGGAAGGCTTTTGAGTACGTTGGTGGAAGGCAGGAATGTGGCAGTCGTCAGGGACAGCTGGAACCAGGGACTTGAATGCTGCCAGGGTGCTCAGTCTTTTCTGTTTGAACATCTGCTTCTGTCAGCATCTTGGCTTAGTTCTCTCAGACCAGCTTTCGTCTCGACTCAGGGCACATGGCTGCTGGCAACTCTCATGCCTTTAGATGCCCAATTTCTTTACTGTGTGAGCGAGATTTCTCCTTATGCCTTAATTTCACTTTGAAAAATCTTGAAGAAGGACTGTGATTGACTTAACTTGGACCATATGCCCTGATCCATGCAAATACAGATCAACTTTGACCAGAAGGTTAGGGTGCCATGACTGGCCTACCTTTGGACAGGTACACACACCTAGCCTGTGGCTAGGAGGAATGAGAAAGCAACAACATATATTTGAATCACATTTTTCTGTGGGCTTTCAAGGTGAGGTAGTGGTGATACTTCCCAGAAGAAGAGGAGGTGTTATTTTGGAATAAAAGGGTAAAGGATATTCTGAGAAGAAAGGAAAAAAATATGTTTATTATGGTTTTGTCTATATTATAAGAATTTTAGATTACTTTTGAGGATAATAGATAATTTGTTTACACTTTCATTAGATATCACTGAATCACACTTAAAATTATTTTGGACTGGAAAATGCAGTAATTAGATATTGTTATTAATTAATTCAGCATATTTGAAGAGATCTTTGCTATGCTACAGCTTTGATGAGCTGAACATGTTTAGGCCATGGGGTTCAGCAGAATTTTTGACAAAAAATTCAAAAAAAAAATTCTTGTCTTCAAATTTCTCTAATGATGCAAGTACTAAATAGTTGGCAGGGTGTGTGGTACTCTCTGGAAATCCCTGAGCTTCCTGCAAGGAACACACCTGCTTTTATTGACTCTGAGGCCTGAAAATTATTCCCAGATTATTGCAGTTGGTTGATTTGTTGTGAACAGAAGGAGTATTCTGGATGCGTGGTGATGTCTTGTTATATCAAGGCTTAAAAGTGTGAAAGGAAGAGAGAGAAAACAATAGCAAGAAAGAAAAATATGTGGAGAAGAAGAGGAAGGAAAATAACATAGGTCAGTTGGGTGACGGAGAAAATTAAACACCTGAGACACTGAGGAGATGAGAGCAGCCCAAAGGATCAGTGATGAACAGGGAGAAAACCGCTCCAGTGAAGGCGCTCATGGCTCCTTTTGTGGAACCTTCCTTGGAATTGTACCCTTGAATGCTGACCCATCTCTGCTGCATATTTGTGTATAACACCATGAGATTTGTCACCCAGCCATCCATTCTAAATCTCAGTATTCATCGAAGGAATCTGTGTGCCATTTTGAGGGAACCGCTGTTGAAATAGGTTATCAGTCTTCATTGGAAGGATTGATGCTGACACTGAAGCTCCAACACTTTGGCCACCTGATGTGAAGAGCTGACTCACTAGAAAAGACCCTGATGCTGGGAAAGATTGAGAGCAGGAGGAGAAGGGGGCAACAGAGGATGGGAGGTTGGATGGCATCACCGACTCAATGGACATGAGTGAGCAAACTCCAGGTGACAGTGAAGGTCAGGAGAGCCTGGCATTCTGTAGTCCATGGGGCTTAGTGATCGAACAACAACAGCAACAACCAGTCTTGAGCGTCATTCATTGCGTAGTACCTGAGTGTTCCTGTGTATTCAGGTAAAAAGACCATATCTAGTCATTTCTCTCATTTCAACTATAGGAATAATTTTGTGACTCAGGGGGCATTTGCACATTTCCAACTACAGATAATAATAAAGACACTGGTAACTATGAGTTGGAATAGGGAATCATTTATCAAATGGCTGGTATGTGCAAAACTGCTCTTGAGGTATGGGAGTCAGATACAGATTTTGTATTCAAGGTCGTCTTACTATAGCAGAGGTTTAAGAATTATTAATCCTAGATAATTGCTATATCTTCAGATGAGATTTGGTATAGAAGATATCGAGCTGTCAGATATTTGGCCAGTGCCTAGCACATCCAGAAATGGAAAAAGAAAAAAAAACTTGTTTGGTTTACCGTACTGTTTTAGAGCATGAACCTGGAAGTTTTAATTTGAGACAGAATGGTACCAGAAAAATAATACCTTGAGCTCTTTTGTAGTTCAACACTATTATTTTTACTGTGGCAACAAACAACCCTAAAATTTTAGGGTTTATATAACATTTTTATTTCTTGCTCATGGGTCTGTAGATTGATTATAGTCACTCTAGACTAAGGGTTTGGATCAGTCTGCTTCCTGTATCTCTCATTGTGGGCCCTTTGCTGAAGGAACAGTGACAATCTGGGGTGTGCCCTTCTTGTGGGTGATAGCAGGACACAGGGTGAATGAAAACGCTCAGAACATCTTAGAGCCTCAGTTCAGAACTTCTACTCTTTTGTCTACATTCCTTTGGTCAAAGCAAGTCACATGAAAACCCGAAGCAATTAGATGGAAGTATATTCCACCCATAGGGAAGTCATGTCAAGGTGACGAGGGAAGGATGGATTGTGAATAGGGTAGGTATATCTACCACAGCCTCTAGGATGCCAAAGATACATGCTAGATTTCAGAGGTAATAGAAAAAGTTGTATTAACCTTTGAGTCTACCTTGAATAACCCTAATCTTTGTAGTCCAAGCCTGACAAAATTGTAATAGGTTGAATTTCTAAGTCACTGAATTCTGGAATGGATTGAAATAGCCCAGGGCCAATTGGATCTTTAGAGTGACTTCTTAAAAAGGTCACTCTGCAACTTGTATACATGTTATTTAAGAAAATCCAAGAATTGAGAGAGTTTGAATTTCATTAAAAGTACACATAATGCCAATCTTTTGGAGTTTATTGAATAAATACTGTTATAGCAACCCTGGAAATTTGCTTTGAGTGACAAATTTTGCGCCAGAGCTCTTTTTATGTCTTGAAAAAAAATTCTGTTGGCTTGAGGTTTAATAGGAGAAA